AGAACACTGTGAAGGTAACTTTCATAGTATTTTCGCTGTGAAGGTTTGGATTTATTTTAATTTCACAATGTTTTGCTATGAAGTTTCAAATGTAAAAATGTGGTCTCACAAGAACAAGTTGGTCTCACGTGAACCCTATATATATATATATATATAATCCTTTACAACCCTAATAAATCATACAATTTTATAAACAATTTATCTTGTGTTCTTTCACATACGAAACAATACGTATAAATGCAACGTTATTTCATATGTGAAACATTCATGACTGTTTTGTACGTGGGAAAAAACAGTACTAAAATTTTCATATATGAAACAACACTTTATAAACGCTATATATTCATATATGTTGTTTCATATAAGGAACAAATATTCGCATACGTCAACACATTTCATGTTAATGCGTGTTAAAAAACAATATAATTGTGAATGTAATAAGCAAATGATGACTGATTTAATTATTTTTAAATACAAGGGATTTTATTTATATTGTATGAACAATATGTTATGTGACATGTATGTTTCTTTCATTATTGTTTCTAAGTAATGTTAATATTTGGCCAAAATTTTAGTTGGTTATTTATTTTGCGATGAATCCGGGTTATCTGCAAAGTAAGTGGTCGTCTTGAGATTAATGGGCTCGCATAGCGGGTTGGATATGCAGGTTAATAAAAAAAAATGTTAATATTTGGCCAAAATTTTACATATAGAAAATAAACATAGCCAATATTTTCTTTTTATTCCTGCATGTGTGATTGAGAACACACAATGATGGCCAACACAATGATTTATGATTTACCAAATTTGTCCATTGGTAGTAAAGGTTTTGTAGATGGAGTATATTTTGGAGTGTTAAAAAGTGGCATTATTTATAGTTGGACCCAACACCGTTATTTGAATAACGCCATCATATCACTCAAATCATATTCCAACAATAATGAATTCAAATCGTTCAAAAGTCACCAACTTATATTATTATGTCAATATTGGTTTCATTATAAAACAAAGAGGTTTTATCTACGAATTCTTCTGTCAGATATTTTTGACGAATCACCGGTGGATTGACCATCATCGGTAGACTTTCTCATTGGTGATTGACATTAGCCGGCAATCCGTCGATGATGACTTTTTTCGACAGATTTTTCTATCGGTGAAGTCTCTTTGTTCCGTATCATTTTTTTTCGATTCATATATTATCAGAAAAAAGTAAATTACAGATTCGGTTCCTATGGAATATGCTAGCATGCTTTTATGGAATTCGTTCCTATAATTCATTTATTACGTAGGATACTCAAGGGTATGCAGTTTTTTCACGATTTTGGTCTCCATCCCAAACGTCCGACAACAAGTCTGTTAAGATCGAGAGCAAAACCGTCTTTTTGTCATTTCTGCATTGTCTTTTTGCCAAAAAAAAATCAAAAACCCCTTTTTTCTTTCATCATTCATCATCTTCGTGTTTTATCAAGAGCACCAAACTCTAAATTAAGAACATTCAAACTAAAATCAAATGTAAAAAACCTAAATCAAGTAAACTAAAACCATGCAAATTAATTCGATGTAACAACTCGATTTTCAAAAATCACCTCAAAAATAAATAAACATTCGACAAGCGGTCCATCAGGGATCTTTTGACACAATTTTCCTAGATTTTCTACAAAATGCACAATGAAAACAAATAAATTAGCCAAACTAAGATTGTTACCATAGTCTACACAAACCAAGCTTCTAATGAAAACATAAAAAATATACTCATTACTAGCAAACCCGTATATGAACCTATTTTTATCCCACGGTTACAGCTTACCCTTTTTCCCATGCTAGCAATCTCGATATGATATATAACTGAAAATGCATTAGTTTTGAAAACAAGGGTTAGACAGAAAGACCTAGTGGATTCTTTGTAACCCACAACAATATTGGATAGTATAAATTTTAATGTCATTCTCATAAAAATAGGCAAGATGAACATAGCATTTCATGACTACATTTCCATCCAGATAACTATCCACAACGTTTGCAAATACCATTACAATAATGTGATCATCTTGAGAAGATTGCAATTTATACCATGTTTGTGACCCCCGTGACAAATCGATATCTATGTCAACCCAATAGGACTATAAGAAACGAATTCTTATAGCACAATGAAAATGAAGGTTCACATGCAAACTGTTATAGTCCCACATACATCCTCTCTCGTAGTTACGATTACCCAACCCACATGCACCCCATGTGACACCACATTTTCATAACAACATGCAATATATACACATAAAACATGTTTGTATAAACATTAATACACATTTTATAATCCATTTACAATTAAAACATTTCTTGCAACATCAATAAAATAATACAAGAAATTCACCTGATGGAGACACTACACACCAAGTCTTAACGGCTAAAACTCCCTCAAACCAAAAACTTGAATTCACCTGATAGAAAAGTTGTTAAACCTCTTCAGTTATCCTACTAAACCCATTTTATAACCTTCTAAATAACACTTCTAATTAATACCCTGAATGACCCTCAAAATACCACGAAAATATAAATAAAAAATCTTTACAACAGAGACTTACGCGACCTAGCCCGCAACCCAAGTCGTGACACTAATGGCGGGACTCCCTAGGGTGCCTGGTTCGTCCTGATTTTTCCAGAATCACCAAATTGAGAAAACCCAACAATAAGACCATCCTTTTTACTACTCAAAACAAATCTTTTAACATAGTTTAACCATAGAAACATGTATAACTAACTCTAGTATTCTTAATTCTACAAGATTATCATAAATCAATGGGTAAATCCCATTAACACAAGAGAACTTATAATCCCATTTCATACAATGAAAAGTACAACTTAATTCTATCAGTTCAAAATAAAAAAATAAAAAAAAAGTTAACGCAAATCAATCATAAGAGATTTCTTGCCCTCAAAGAACCTTGGACAACACCTATATCATACTAACTCAAAAACCTAAATCCTTTACCCAAAGATTTTGAGTGAACCCTAGGTTAGAGATTATAGATTCATATCTTAAGAGAGAAAAAACCCAAGCTTTCAAGATATTTTCCCTGTTTCTTCTGGCTGCAATTTTTTCCCTAAAGAACACACACGTGCACACACATACGCATACACACACGTTCATGCACACACACGCATACGCGCTTTTTGGGGTTCATGTTCTGGAAAGAAATAGATAGATGAAAGCTTCTAATATGATTCCAAAATTTCAAACTAAACCCTCAATATCAGATAAATTACATAAACGACTTCTAACTTTTGCCAAACTTAGGATTTTGGGTTATTACATTCAAACATCATCTTTACTTCCAGGCTCCAGCACAACCTTCTCTACGATCATGAACAAACTTAAAACCTAAAACCATAAATCAAAGTGAACCATAAACCAAACATTAGGGCACTGGAAACCGTCACAGACCCATTGCAGACCCTTACTCCTTTAGGATCATCTCTGGTTCCCAAAACTCAAAAACTATGCTAGATTGCATCATATCCGGTACCCCAACTTCAAAATAGTGCAAGATTCCACCATCATCGTCGAATTAGGATTAAAACTAAACCAAAGCAGATATAGGTGTGGGGGAATGGTTCACCAACTTCTCTTCTCTATGGGTCATGAATGAAATGCTTTCTCATTGGGTTCAGGGTTTTATTTTAGTTTGTTCGTGATTTAATTTAGGCTTAATGTTGTTCTTGATGTTTTTGAAGTTTTTGACGGAGAAGGTAAATGTTCGATGAAGATGACAATTGGTGTTGTAGGTTCTCAGTTTTGGTTTTTCCAGGGGAGTTTTAGGTTTGGGTTTTTCTTACAGGTGATAGGTTTGGATCTTTTGGCGTTAAGCAGGTGATGCTTGGCATTGTAGGTGAATTATGAGGGTTATCGAAGTAGGGGAAGGTGAACTGTGAGGGTTGCCAGAGTCGAGGAGAGGCTCAATTTAACTTTCTATTTTTTAATGCTCACTATACTTGTACATTTTTTAGAAGCTTGTACATAAATTACTCAATAATATAAAACTCTTATTAAGAAGATGACAGAAAAAAGATAAAAAGAGAAAAATAACGACCAATTAACTAGGGTTAATAGAATGGATGTAGACCACATATATATATATGAACCAATTCCAAGAAAAAGTACAAACCATCGAGTCTTTTATGTAATAATGAATGATCTATACAAAATCCCGTACCATAGGGACCAGATCCATAATTTACTATATCCAAAAGTTTGTTATATGGGTTATACAATATATTCATATAATTATATAATATATATTTTTGAATTCGTATCAGTATGTGCAAATTTTTTTGTCGTTTGGTATTTTCATTCCATTCGCACTCTACTATAATTTGATGTTAATATATTTTGGTGAATTAATTTATCCTCAATTGTTTATACTCTTTATGTTAAAACAAAGTCTTGTTTTAAAATATGAAATAAATTATCATGAAATTAACCATTTTGCAGTGTTTTACATTTTCATCAAATATAGATTAAAGAATAGATGTTCATCTATTTTTTGACTATAGAGGGCAATTGTTGATGTCAGATTTCTAGATATAAAATCTTCAACTTTAGAATAAAAGAAGTGAAGATCTAATCAACCAATGAAACCAAAATAATGTTCTAATTAAGAGAAATACTCCACTTTTTGAGTGCGATTATAATGCCATGTCTAATCACTTTGTGGTCAATATTTTTGGCACCAAAACGTGGACAAAAGGCTTTGTTAAGTGGTGGATTTGTTGACACATTACCTGGATTTTTGGTCTTGGATATCGTGTCAACCCATGACTGGCCATTCAAGAAAGTAACCAGGTTGCCTGGAGATCACACCCTTTGCCCTAATTAAATAACTACTGAAACCAAAAGAGATCACAAGACATCACCTAGTGCTTCAATAATGCCACAATTCTTTTTAATCTCCTCAAGTGGGAAACTCATTTATCTAAGTATATAATGGCATGACTATAAGCTATAGCTTGCTAGGGATTGGTTTCACGGTTAAACACTTCATAAATCTCTCTCTCTTCCTTTTATAAACTTCTAGAGAGAGAGGGGGGGGATTGAAGTGGAGCAATGAAGAAACGTCAAGTGGTGGTCAAAAACAATGGTTCTAATAGAACTTCAAGTGCATCCACAGTTCGCAGGGTTCATTATGGAGAGTGCCAGAAGAATCATGCAGCAAACATCGGAGGGTATGCTGTAGATGGCTGCAGGGAGTTCATGGCAAGTGGACAAGAAGGTACAGCGGCTGCAGTTACGTGTGCCGCCTGTGGCTGCCACCGGAGTTTCCACAGGAGAGAAGCTGTGGATGAAGTTGTGTGTGAAGGTTCATCAACATCTGATGCCTAAGGTGCATGTAAGTGGTCTGAAAAGAGGATTAACTGCTGGGGATTGATTTGAACACATTTTAAACATTCACACATGTATTCATATCATATATCTTTTCTATATATTTTCAAATATCTGCTGATGTATTAATTAATTACTCTTTTTGTACAAAACTAATTAATTAAATTGCACTTATCATGAAAGTTATACAATATTTTGAATCTACAAAAGCTTTCTACTATATCTCATACTATTTATTTTGGTTCTTTTTCATACCAAATCCAGTTTATTTTCTTAATATTAATTTTAGACTGATCATGTACAATAATTGATCCAGTATAATATTACCACATATATAAAATTCGAACTCAAACATTAGTTTATATTTTTCAGTCGGAGAAATTGAATTAAACAAACCCGAGAAAGACTTGTATATGTCATCATATCAAAATTCTGAAGAAACTTTCTGTAAATACAAAAATAGGGTTTGAGGAGATGGATTAAGATGGAAGATGAAGATCACATGTTAGTATTTGCATATACAAACTTGTACCTTATGCATATTATTAAGTACCTGTGTATGAATAAATTAATTCCCATGAAGATGAGAGGTGGGAGCTAGAGGATAATAAAATAAATTGCAGTGCATGCAGAATGATAATCTAGAAATAAAATGAATATAATTAAGATGGAGTTTTGGATCTCCACATGGATACAGCAAATAATCCTCCAGCTTTACAGCTTCCATCTTCATCACTTTCATGGATGGATCTTGTCCCCCATTTCAATTTACAAACTGTTTTGGTCTGCCAAATGTGTATTTTATAAGTCTATGTTCCCTTTCATTTCATCTACATATACATGCAAGTAACATAAAGTCAAATCATTTTAGTCTCATTTTCTAATTAACTCATTGGCAATATATCTTTCAATCATCTTGAAGTTAGAGCCCATTTTTTTGTATTTAAGCATGAATTTTAATATATACAATTTTAGGGCAAGTATTAAATGATTTGTACAAAACGAATCTTACTTCTCATCCACCGATCGAGTGATGCTCGATTTGTGTTGTCGAATGATTCTTAATGTGTTTTTTATTTTTTTTATTTGTTGTATAACATGTAACACTGTTGTCATATACGTTTTATATCCCTTTTTTACGACCTTCAATTTCTAAGAGTTATAAACTTCGAAAAAACATTTGCGGTTGGAATTTTACGGTGTTAGGTTCTTATCCAAGATACTCTTATATATACAATCATCTACAGGATTTGCTTTTCTAGAAACAATCCTCAAACGCATTATTTATGACGCCATAAAGTTCAAATATAACGAGAATCTTTTCAGTTGTTTGTTGCCAAATGCTGCCAAGCATGCAATTGACCAACGTGTTTGCGTCACAAATACATCACTGACGGTTCTGATTGTTTACCCGTCGCCGTCGGGAATAATTGCCAAGTCGAAAATGATTGTTTATTTTTCTATTATTGAGCTTGCTCCGGATCCAGCCCATTTCTGATATATAGTTCATTAGAGGGAAAATACACATGTTATTGCTTTGGGTTCAAGCCCATGGGCCTAGTAGGGTTTATGTTTTCTATATCCCATTTTGCTTTTTAACTTAAGAAAACTTCAATTAAGTTAATTCATTAGAATATGGTTTTTCCATCGACAAATATGTCATTATATTTTACACTTTAAAAATATATGAAGTTTCAATTAAAAAAATTCAATCACTTGTATATCTAGTTTACGAAATCCTGTTAGTAAAGAATGATTGTTAATATAAACATACAAAACCAGAAATGAGTCCAAAATTGCACTTATTTTTTGAGAAGATATAATGATTAAAAAAATGTATAAATACCATAATATTGATACAATTACAAAAAAAAGTTATATTTGGTTTTATAATTTTAGAAAGTTCGTTACATTACTTAATATAACAATCAAAATATGAAATAACGACAATATAATAATCGTCAAACCGTCACCAAGGATTAATTATTTAACATAAAAATTTGTCAAATACATCTCGACAAGAGCGGATAGTAAAAACAACATGCCTAACTAAGATTTATGTTGAGATAAAAACGTCGTATTCAAGTCCTTGAGCTTAAAGTGTTTTACATTGCTTCGTATTGTAGTCTTTCATGCTTTGTAAGCTAGTTTGTTCCGTGTATTCTTTAGTATAAATAGGGGTGCTTGGTTAGTTTTGTTAGTTAGCATTTTTAGATATTTGTATCCGGTCAATACATTGAGAAGTATCCTGTTGAGAGATAACTTGAGAAACATCATCAAGAACATCTTGTAACCATTAGAATATCAATATACATGCCGACATATTCAATCCATTCAATGTTCTTGATCTTGATCTAATCATCTTAATTGACTTGAATCTGAGCTAACAATTGGTATCAGACCAAACATAAAGATCTTGGATTGTAATTGGAATCAATTTTTGTGTTGAATTTCTTGATTTTGTATTCAACAGGTTCTGGTCTTTAAAGTTCAAAAGTGGGTTGTTGATTTTGATTAAATTGGATCATTTTGATCTTTTTTTTAACAAAGTTTTTTTCACAAAAAGTGTTTGTATAGGATTTTCGAGCTAATCTGTGCAACTTTTAACATCCAATTTTGAGTTTTTGTGAATTTTTGGTGAATTTTTGAAGTTTTCTATCCAAATGTTCTAAATCGAGAATGAAGATCTTCATCAAGCAAGATCCATAAGAACATCGCCCATTGAATGTTCATTGTTCTTTGGAAGAGAAGTTTTGTGAAAATTGCACAAAGTGTTGGAAGATATATGTCTAAATCACTCAAAGTGTGCACGGTTTATGTGTTCATCGCTCAAAGGTGTTGGTTTGTTGGACGATATCTGGATTTTATCGCTCAAAGTATTGGAAGGTTTCATTAATTTTGTCTAAGTGTTGGTATCATATCGTTCAAGTATTGAGCGTATCTTGTGGACTTGAGTTTATCGCCCAAGGCATAGGCGATAAAGGATTATACCGGACAAGCCTTTTCCTGATATACTTGTAATCCGCCCAACACTAGAGCGGTTTATAGTCTTTGGAATTCATCGCTCACTTTGTTGCCAAATAAACCTAGGTCATCACCCAAAGCTTGAGCGATAACCTTGTGAGCAGTTTAATAGTTGAGCGATAACCACTAATAGTTATTTTGTTGCTGCAAGAAGAGAGATCAAAGAATCTTACTGTTACACTGATGATGAGAAAGAAAGGGTTTTGGTTGGTAAAAAGGCATTAACATATCTGTTGATGGCCATTCCGAATGTGCTTTTCAATAGAGTTGATAACCGTAGGTTTGCTAAGGAGTTGTGGGATGAGCTTGAGAAACAAATGCTTGGAAGTGAAAAGTTAGTTCAGACCAAACTGTATCAATGTATAAGTGCATATGAGGGGTTCAGGGCCAGAGAGAATGAATCCATAAATGAATCCTATAACCAATTCAACATCATTTTGAATGATTTGAGGATATATGGCTTACAAAAAGTCTGGATTTGAGATCAACTATAAGTTTCTGAAGAATCTGAAACCGGAATGGAACACTCTTGCAGTCAACCTTAAGATGAATAAGAATATGGTTGAGGAAGATATTCATGATCTGTACTGTATATTGTTTGAGCAAGAAGAAATTGTGAGAGAGTTGGTCAATGAGAAAAAGAAAGTTGTTGATTCCTTAGCCCTTCTTTCTAGAAAGAAGAGTAAGAGCAAAGAAGAGTAAAAGAATTCCATGTTTTTAGAGTCTGAATTATCAGAAAATTTTGAAAGTGAATCTACTGAAGATTCATCTGTTGATACTAATGATGACATCCGAAAATTCTCCAAGAAGCTAACTCTGTTGACAAAGAAGTTTCAGAAAAGGTTTGGAAAGAAGAAGTTTGTTAAGTATGGTAAAAGCAAAGATAAGGAGATCAAGCATGAATTATAGCCAAAGACCAAAAGAAGATTAAAGTTGAAGACAACAAATGCTTCAACTGTGGCAAGACTGGTTACTTCATCAAGGACTGTCGCTTCAGAAAGTTCAAAGACTCTAACTATTATCTGAAGAAAGCTCATCTTTCAAAAACACTTAAGGATGGTAAAGCCTTAGTGGCAGATGAAGAAAGCTGGTTGATTTACTCGTCAGATGATGAAGTTGCACACTTCACACAGGTGAACATGTGCTTGATGGCCAAGATTGAAGGAGGCTCATCATCTGATAAAGAATCTAGGGTACAAAATTATTTTAATACTGAACTAATAAAAGAAATTGAAAGCATGAACACCGAATTTAAAACTTTGAAAGAAAGACTAAAAAGTGAGAGAGCTTCAATGATGAAATTTCAAACTGAAAGTCCCTAGACCTCAAAAAGATGATCTTGAAAAGAATATAGTTTCACTTGAAAAGAAATTGAGAACAGTAGAAGGTGGGAAAATGAATATTCTACTAGAATTTAATTTGATTAACAAGGAAAGAGATGATCTATACTAAAAAATAAATCAGTTTGAGGATATCATTTATAAAAGAGATCAATTTGAGCAAACCCTGAAATGGGTTTGAGTTTCAATGAAAATGATACTTTAAAAAGGGCCTTGAAATCTCTTTATGATTTTAATGAACAGGGGTTTGCAAAATTTTCAATCCCATCCGTTAGTGAAATATTAGTTAAAGCAAAACCAGAATCACCAATTCTTGCAAAAAGTGTGAATGATAAATCAGATGAAGAAATTTCTAAGAAAACCAAATTTCAGATTAGTGGGATTAAAGTATGATGAATTAAATTCAAGCTATGAAACCAGAGAAATTCAATTTTCACACATTGAGCTTGAATCAATATATCCCCCTGAAGTTTCTAAAACTGAAACTTCACCTGTTTTTTAATCGTAAAAAGAGGAAACCAAAACGTCTAATGATCTTTCTGATTTTATTGAAAAATGTCTCCGACCGTTTTTGAAAACTTAATGAATGAACCAGACTCGAAATCTGAAACGAAGGTGAAATATGATTCTGACATTAATGAAGAAGTCATTGAATAGGATTGGTTAATACATTCAAATCCTGAATTTGATTCAAACACAAAAATATTTGTTTTAAAGA